GGCTAAAATTCAAAACATAAAAAGAACAAGATTTTAAATAATAAAAAAATACAAGTCAAATTCAAAATAGAATTAAAGTATTAAGAAATCAAATTATTTGTAATTACAAAATCATTTTATAGCTTAATCTTCTTAATGAAATAATAGCAAATATTTCAACATTTCTTGTAGCTTTACAATAAAAATATTTTATACAAAATTATACAAGTATTATTATATTTTAATATACTTACTGGTTCTTGTATAATACCAAGATCAGGATGTACATGCTCATAACGATCGAATATCACAAGTGGATCTCGGGATGTTTCTAATTCATAAAATTGAAAATCCTTTACTTTCGTGCATATTATCCATACCTGTTCCATGAAAGGCTTAGGGTACGGCAGCGAATCATTGAATCTATTTGCTAATCGCATCCACAGTGCTAAAAATAAGAAATAAAGAGACATAAAAAATGTATCAATGCATTATTTAAAACAAACAAATAAAAGAACAATAACATGCAAAGGTAAAAATAAAGCTGAATCAAGATACATACTTCAAAATTATATATATTTAAACAATAATTAACATAACAGTCCGTTAATAAAGAAATAGATAAATTATTATGATAATCTTAAATATCTAAAATGATATAGTATCTACGATACAAAAGTCAAATAACCTTGTAAAGTAATGCCGTCTAAACCTTCTAAGGCAACTTCATCGACGACCGCCTCCACTAAATTACATGACGGATAAGCCATGCTTTATTAATAGCGCTGCATCTAAATATAACAAATACAATAATTGCTTTTTTATAATTTTGCACAATTGATAATTTTAAAATTTTTAGCGAATCTGTAAATCATGGAAGCATGTAGTGTGTAGAAGCATGCATACAATCATAGTGGATACCATCATATGTTTATCATCATATGTTTACAGTCTGTTGGCGTTGTTTACTTTTGCACTCAATCTTCAATTTCCTCTCTTTAACATCCGAATATTATATTTAAATTTTTTTTGTATTTGAAATCCTTCAAAATTTTTTATTCTTAAAAATGAGATAAATATATAATATAATATTTGGGTTGAAAAGAATGAAAACGAAAATAAGTGTAGAAAGTGCAAGCGACGTGAATAGACCTATCAAGTTGCTACTTATAAATGTCATTCGCATGTGATTAGATACGGTTATCTCATTATTTTGTACGTTCATGGTGGAGAATGAGCCTAACCTAAATTAATCGTGTGTGCTACTTTGAGATACGATGTAATTTATGTTCTTGCAAAACTTTACGTCACCTCGATGAAGTGATTGTCTGGATTATATTTTACGATAACTGCTTCAGCCGAAACGTATCACAAAAATATTGCAGAAAAAGTTTATGGTGAGACTCACGAATACCCAACAATGACGAACAGCTGGCGAGGCACGAACATGCCAAGTTCAAAGGTAAAATCTTACATATGTAATTTTATGATTGACATTTTCAATTCAAAATACAATTTTATGTGTATCTGCCATACATTGCAATTTATTGCAATAGTTATTTGTTGTTATCAAAAGCCATTAATTGAGCAAAATTTTAAAAACGCTTGAAGATTGTTTGATGGTTGAGAATTATTCCTTTTTTTCTATTGTTGTTTAATAAACTGAAGTTCTTAATACATTTTGTTGTTTATTTTACTGCAGGATTTGGAACACGATGAGTTTATGAAACGTATAAAAAAGTCATTATATTATTCCAAGTTACCAGTGATTAACTGCTTGAGTTTACCAGTTACAGGTCAGTATGATATTCAGTTATAAATTAACAATTAGAATATTGATATGTGAAAATAATTTATTATTTTAAATTGTTATCTTTTATATTAATAAAAAATTAGTTACAATTAGTACATAGTTGTCTAATAAATCAAAATTTGTGTAATAATATTTAATATGATCAATAAGAAATAAGATTTAAATTGTTATCTTTTATATTAAAAATAATCAATATAATTGCTCACTCAATTATATAAAAACAAATAATAAAATCAAATGTTAAGAGTGCAACAGCAAGTTGATATATGCTAATATTTTAATTTATAAACAAATGTAACACATTTTAACCAATACATTCAGATCATTTTCAATGTTAATACCTAATAAAGCTAAAAAGAAAACGTTTCTAAAACCTACATATTAAACTACTAATTCTAGATTACATTTGAATATAATATTCATATAATAAAACATTCATATAATAAATAAGTTGTTTTTTTTTTCTTGCAATTAGTCATCAATTAAAATCCGGTTCACTATGTATCTCTTGATAGAAATTAAAATGTCGTCTTGTAAAACTTTAATCAGAATAGTTGTTAATTTTTCGGAATGTAGATTAGACAGATCGCTACCAAATTATAAAAATATTATACAAAATGAATTGTTTTACTAAATTTAACTGTTATTTTAATAAATATAAATTTTATATTATTAAATAGGCCAATTTAAATATTTTTACTTTGTTTTTATTTGAGGGAATAATTTTTGTGTGTTTTATGTGAATTTAAAAAAAAACATTTAAGGAACAGTTTTGAAATATCAATTTTTAATATTTGTCTTTAGTTTCATTAAATTGAATTTATAATATTTAATAACATTATTTGCTCTTATTTTAAATATTATTCCATTCAAAATTAATTTTACTTTATGAAGAATGATAAAGAATAAATAGAGAATTTTTATTTATTTATTTCAACATATACAATAGCTAAGAAAGGGATTTGGTTTACATAATGTGTCTTTAATATCCTTCCATATTTCTGTCACTTATTTGTATCTATCTCTTAAATAACAATTATCTTATTTCCTCTCTTTGCAACTCTAAATTACTTTTTCATTCCTCTCCTTATTTTTGTTCTTATTTTTATTTTGTCTATTTTATTTCCATTATCACCTTAGCCTACTTTATCTATCTCTTACATAGTTCTACTTTCTACCTTAGTTATACTCCTTTTTTTTTATAACATTTTTTTACCCGTTTTTACATACCCTATACCCGTTTTTTTTCTGTTTTTAGCTCTTATTAGTTTTATCCCTAATCCACTTTCTTTTATCTGTCTTTGTTTTTCCTTCTTTAATTTCTTCTCCATGTCTTTCCAAAGTTTCCTTATCACCTTTCTTTTTGTATCTAACTCCTGCTTAAGATCTTGTTTCTTCACTTAACTTTATGAACCTGTTCTTTATCTCTTCACATACATAATGTTCTGTTATTCTTTCCTTTCCACAAAATAAACATTCCCTTAACTCAATATCAATATGCATATTCATAAAGCATGATTCATAAATTAATTTCTTCTTTTTAGAATTGGCAGCGGAATTTTTTACTGAAGTGAAGAGCGGTCATACATTGGAAAAACTCGATGTTGAAGAAGCAAGCAGAATATCTAGAAATGCATGTGTTTCCCCTTGCTCACTTGTGTTGGCTTTGCTATATATTGAAAGATTAAAGAATTGTAATCCGGAATATCTTCATCAAGTAGCGCCGTCTGAGCTATTCTTGGTTTCTTTGGTATTTATTATTCTTTATTTTGACATGTCAACGTGACAACACTTTTAATATCATTTAAGTTAACGAATAAATTTTTGTTAACGCTTATTAGATGGTAGCCAGTAAATTTTTGCACGATGATGGCGAAGAAGATGAGGTTTTCAATAAAGAATGGGCAAATTCGGGACAAGTGACTATATCTCGAATGAATAAATTGGAAAAAGATTTTCTTGCTGCAATCGTAAATAATCGTTTATACATTATCTAAAATTTATATAATTTGTAAGTTATCAATTGATTATGTATCATTTATCAAAATGTATTTTATGATTTTATGCCTCAGGACTGGACAGTGTTGGTGCAGCACCAAGATTTTTGGGAAAGGCTGCAACAATTAGAAAAAAACGTGGCATATCGAGAAATACACAAACGCAGATGGTGCACATATACAGAATTGAGTTGTCTGATGAATTCCATTCAGTTGATTAGAATCGCACAAACATTAATTAGTGTGTCTTCGATCTGCCTGGCGACTTATGCCGCCGGATTGGCTACTCTTCTGGGATCCACTTTGGTTGCCAATTTTATTGTGCAAAGTTGCTTACCCGGGATATCACTTAATTCAAGACAACCAACGAATCTGTCAATAAATCTCGCGACGAATGTCTCGTCAACCGATCTAACTGATACGTTGATAAATACACGATCCCAGGAGATTAACGATGATGGTCTTCCAATTTCCGATTCCGAGAATATTGCAGCTTATTCTGCAATTGTGGAAATCGATAATGATGATGAAGAAGCCAATTGGAAATGGTGGCTAAATTCAACGATGATTTGGTTGCCTGAGTATTGCTTAGAGAGCAATGTTGAGGTTGCAAATTTCACTGACAAATTATGCATTATCAACATCGACTTTTCATTCAATTCGACGCAAGCTATAAATATAAGAAAACTGGAGAAAATAGGGAAAACGGAAGATTTTGCACCAGAAGACTATCGCCACAATGTTAATTGGAAGGAAATACTAGACACAACCTTAAATTGGTTAGAACAAAACTGGAAACGATCACATCACGAAAGTGTCTTTCAGTCACCAGAATTAAAAATTTACTATTAGCTTGCTGATAAAAATTTGCCTGTTAAACGAGTTTTTCAAAGGAGATATATATATATATA